CCCCCCCCCCAGGTGACTTTCTATTGTTGGGCATAACACTGGGGTAATCATGAAGGAAATTGTGAATCTGTCTGTGACACTGGCCGTGTGAGGGACAGGTGATGCTATGATGCTGTGTGAGGGCATTCCACGTGACCTGTCATGCCGTGGGGTGGCCACCTCTCTTGCCAGTTGTGAAATGATGAGTGAGGTGGCTCTGGGTTTGTCTGCGTGACTGTTGATGACACTGTACCTGGGTACAGTGACAGGATCCACCGCCACTGATGTGTGTGAGGGTGCCGCGGGTGCTGAGGAGCTGAGCGCCATATTTGCATCCAGTTGTAAGTGAAGGCAGCCTGGGAGAGACAGCCAGTCTATGGCTCCCTGTGTGAGAAACTGGGGTGTGACTGAGACTGACGCCGTGGGTGGTCACGGTCTCAGCTTGTGTGGGTGACATCCTCAGGGCTATGCCACACAGGGTGTGGGGGCCTGTGACCCTAATGCATGTGGCGTCTATCTGGAAGGCCTTGACAAGGATACTGTAAAGCCGGGCGGTGGTGGCGCACATCTTTAATGCCAGCACTCGGGAGGCAGAGGCAGACGGATCTCTGTGTTTTCGAGGACAGCCTGGGCTACAGAGTGAGTTCCAGGCCAGCCAGGGCTGTGAAAGAGAAGGCATTCCCAGTGGGATTCCAGCAGTAGGGAGGCTGAGTGAGGCATGGGTTCAAGGCTAGCCAGGGCAATGCATGAGACTCAATCTCCGATGGAGAGAGAAATGAAAAAGTCTAACGTGAAGATGTGATGATGGGTATGTATTTATTTTCGCTCACACTTGCAACCCCAACACTTGAGAGGCTGAGGTGTGAGGATGGTTGAGTTCAAGGCCAGTCAGAGCTACAAAGTGAGACCTTTTATCAAAACCCAATAAGGGAAAAAAAAGTGGTTAAAATGATAATTCTTTGGTGTACTACACCTACTCCTTACGTGAATTTCCCTCACACTTGTAGACCCCAACACTTGGGAGTGCCACAAGTCTGAGAGTGGCCGGGGTACAGGTGTGAGGACCTGAAGACCCGCTTTCGTAAAGGGGTGGCGGGGTCCCTGAGATGACTCAGTGGGAAAAGGTGCTTGCTGCCGAGCCTGATGTCCTGGGTTTGATCTTCGGGACCTGTGTGGTGTGGAGGGAGAGTGGAAAGACTGACCTATGCACTCGTGCGCGCACGCAGGCGCACACGAACAAATAACACTATGACTATATGTGAACATTAATATATATGAATATAAAACACAGGAGGTGCGGGCCGGTGGTGGCGCACGCCTTTGATCCCAGCACTCAGGAGGCAGAGACAGGCAGATCTCTGTGAGTTCAAGGCCAGCCTGGTCTACAGCTCGAGATCCAGGACAGCCAAGGCTACAGAGAAACCCTGTCTTGAAACAAACAAACAAACAAACAAACAAACAAAACACAGGAGGCCGCACAGTCCTGTGGCTTCTGCCTCCTGTGATCCTGGAGAGGCAAGGTGGAAGCCTGTATGCTTCTTGAGGACACTGAGACCAGATGACATCGCTGATTGCTGGCAGCCCAGTGGGTGACTTGGGGTGGGGGTGGATAGCCACATGTTACCTGAGCTCTGTGGGACCCCAGTTCCTTAGGTTTATCCCTCCGCCTAACCCTGGATCTCTCAGGTTCCCTATACACAAACAGACCCTGGAGAGCGGCAGAGAGGTTGGGAGGCATTCTGGGTCTGCGGGAGGCTTGGGGGTTCTGAGGAGGGGGCCGTTCCTGGCCAGGGCTCCTGGGGGTGGTGGAGAGGGGCGGGGACCGTGGTTCTCAAATTGGAAGCACATTAGTTGAGCCGGAGAGGGGAGGCACGGCCTCCTCCAGTGGGCCTGTAAATTACTCCCTCCTGTGGAGAAGGGGAGCGGGTCCTCCCTCCCCAGCCTGGCAGGGTGTGGCTGCTTGGCCGGTCCCTCCTGGGTCCTTAGACTGGAGGTGGGAGAGGCATAGAGCATCCCTACCCCCTCCCCTGGCCCATTCTGGTCCTAACCAGAGCTCGGCCACTTGGAGGGTGGGAGCCTCTGGCAGCTGGAGAACAGCTGGCTGCCGTGGGGGTGGGGTGGAGGGAAGAAAGGCTAGGGGGTGGGGAGGCCCAGCGGGCCCTTTCCCGGCGCTGCCTCCCTGTCAGCCCAGCCCGCGGGGGAGCGCAGGGGACCACTGACTTGGCTTCTGGCTCCTGGAAGTGAGCCGGTGAGGGCAGGGGTCTCTGCAGGGCAGGTAGCCGCAGGGCCCAGCTCAGCTCCTGCGCCCCGGGAGACCTCCAAGTGCCACCTGACCACGTGCCTTGTCTCTGCCGTGCCCGTACGGGGGCACCAGCTCCCGGGGAGCCCTCGTCCCCGCCTTGGCCTCCCCCTTCGGAGGGAGCCACAGGGCCTTTGCAGCCGCCCAACTCTGGCCTGCATTGAGAGCGGTCTGGCCAGTTCTGCCCGTAGATCTGGCCCCAGGGCTGGGAGTGGGCAGCCAGGGCCCCTTATCTCCTCCTGGCCCCCTTCCTCGTCATTGGCCCAAGGCACCTTCTGACCCCCGGGGCTGAGGGTCTGGAGAAGGGAGGAGGCAGGTGTGACTGACTGTTCTGCTGGCTAAGGGTGAGGTGTGGAAGCCTCGGGAAAGCTAAAGCCATCCAGAAAACTCCGGCTGGAGGGAGAGGGTCTGTGGGGGGAGGAGCCGACCGGGCCCCGTCCCTCCCGCCGCTCCCTGGGTTCTGTCCTTCCTCTGCTCGGGCCCTGGCTTCCTCTGCAGTGTTCTGGCCTCTTCCCCTGGGTGCTGTGGACCCATCCCTGGGTCTTCTTCCTCCCACCCCAGATGAGAGTCCATCCGTCCGGCTGCCCGGGAGCGGGGTGTCTGGCACTAGCTGGTCTCTGAGCCTGCTGGTGACTCTTCTGGGGACCCCCCCCCCGGCCTTCCTGTCTATGGGGGCCCATCTCACCCTCCATTCACTGCCCCCTGGTCCTCTCAGTCTGCAGATGGAGGTTGTGTCTGGGAGCTACACTGTGACCCTCCCCCCCCACACACACACCTGCCCCTCGAAGCTCAGCCTCCTTCCTGTCTCTCAGGTGGTTCCAGGGTTTGGGGGTGAGCACCCACACTCCAGGCACTGTCCTCACCCACCATAGTGACCCGGGAGGGCAGCAGTGGTCACCCCAGTGGCCTCCCACACCTCCCGAGGCGTGTCTTCTCGGAATGACGTCGGCAGAGGAGACCCCAACCTCCAGCATCTGCCCGTGCTGGGCAGTGGAGAGCCTTGCAGGAATGTGCTTCGGTGTGAGGCTGTTTGGGGGTTCCACCTATGCCCCTGGTGGGTACTCTGCCCTCCGGGGGTGTGTCCCTAGAAGTCAGTCCTGCAGGTGCCCAGGAGCCGTGTAGACTCTGTGTGTGTGTGTGTGTGTGTGTGTGTGTGTGTGTGTGTGTTAGGGTCCCTACTCCTTGACACCCCTCACCCCAATGCCCTTCCCCCTCCCCAGCTGCCCGATCGCAGCCAGGGGCTGCCCCGCCCCCAGTCTGTCCCAGCTCCCCGGCTGCTCTGTTCGCCATATTTGGCCACATGCTCCCGCGGGGGCGGGGCAGGACTGACATCACCCAGGAGGGGGGCATGGCTTGGATGAGGGGGAGACAGCCAGAGACTTGGGGGAGGCCAGCAAGTTTCTCCAGAAGTCGGGCTGCCGGGTCCCCTGGGCACTGAGCCTGGCTGCTCCATCGGAGCCTGAGGGCCCCGGGGTCCTGTCTCAGGGTGTCCTCCGACCCCTCAGCTGGTCTGACAGTTCCATGGCAGCTCAGGCCGATGCCCGGGGAGGCAAAGACCACCAACTGCTCCTCCAGTGTCCCCTCCCCCAGCTAGCACGGCACCTTGCCCCCTTCTGACTGTAAACGGAATAGAGGGGTCACAGACCTAGACAGTTCCTGTGGTGGGGAGCAGGCTGGGGGTAGGGGCGGCTGCCCCTGGCTGCCCACTGGCCACTGAGAGAGACTCCTGGGTGTCTTGGAAGCCACCAGAAAGGCTGGTCTTGTGCAGTGGTGTGGGGCACTTGAAGTTGTTACAGCCACTTGAGCTGAGGGGGCTCAGTGGCCTGGACTTCATTTTCCTATCCAAGTGGTGGGTTTCACTGCCTTTTCCCTGTCTACATAGTCAGGAAGTGGGCAACAAGGGCCTCTCTTCTCCCCATGTACCTGCCCCCCTAGTCCCCATCTCTGCCATTGACCAGTAACTCTGTTCAAAACCCAGGTCTGTGACTTACTTGCTGTGTGTCCTTGGGGAAGTTGTTTAACTTCTCTGTTCCTTGGCTTTTCTCATGTAATAAGTAGGGTTAATAATGGTACCCCAGGAGCTGAGAGATGGCTCAGCAGTTGAGAGCACTGGCTGCTCTTCAGGAGGACCTAGGTTCATTTCCTAGCACCCACACGGCAGCTCACAACTGTCTGTAACTCCAGCTCCTGAGAGATCCAGCATCCTCACTCAGAGATGCACGCAGGCAAAACACTAATGCACATAAACTAGAGATAAATAAATTATTAAAAAATAGTACCCCAAAGGGTTCCTATGAAGACTGAATGAGTCATTGTATAAAATTCCCAAACCACACCTGGCATGTGGCAGGTGCCACTGTTGGGAATAAGTCTAAACCTGATGTCTAAAGCCGTGTACAGTTGCATATATGTGCTTGATATCCTACCACCTGGGAGGCTGAGACAGGTGGATGGCCAGCTTGGGCTACATAGTGAGACCTGTCTCTAAGATAGATGTAAAATGATCTCCAAGCTCATCATTTGTTTGTTCAGACACTGCCATGTATAAATAGAGAGATACAGATACACATGTATAGATATCTGGTCTCCCAGTGTAGCTCTGGCTGTCCTGGGAACTCACAGAGATCTGCCTGCCTCTGCTTCCTGAGTGCTGGCATTAAAGGTGTGCGCCGCCACACTGGCAGATACTTTCTATTCTTGCTTACCCAGAGCGAAGTGCACCAAGGACTGGAGGCCCCCAGAACTGACTTCAGGTCCCGGTGTTGTGGGGTTGCCGGAGGCGTGAGGTGAATCTGAGGCTGTGTTCTTGGGGACAGAAAGGATGCATGGAGTACAGGAGCCCATCCGCCCTGTGGGCCAGGACAGGCCTGCCTGTGGGTGGTGAGGAGGTATGGGAACAGGAAGTGGATGGAGGAGGCCGGGCAGGCGGAGCCAGGCTGCTGGCTGTACCTCCTAGCTGGCCCCTGCTGCCCTGTCCTGACCACTCCCAGGGCAGCGCCTGGCCCATGCTAAGGTCCTCTGTGGGGGTTCAGTTACCCGTGGAGGAGGTGAGAGCAGTCTCCTCTCACAGCAGGGGCCTGCGTTGGTGCTGGTAGGAGTGGGCAGTGAAGGCCCTGGCTAAAGGTCTCACCTCTCTGCCCCAGGAGGGCTGCAGACACACAGTCCTTGCCCGCAGTCACTCTGTTTCAGAACTCCCCAGGCAGTCATGTGCCGGGGAGAATCAGCTCTCTTGCTATGAATAAGCATCCTCCCCGCCTGCCTGTGCAGAGACTGACCAGATACGCAGGTGCCGTGTGGGGGCGGCTCTCACACAGTCCAAGCTGAACCCAGTTGCTGTATGTAGCTGACGATGACCTTGAACTCTCGCCCAAGCCTTCCAAGTGCTAAAGTTGTTGGCTTATGCCATGCCCAGTTTTATGTATTTTGTGACAGGGTCTCCCTGGGTAGTCCAGATTGACCTTTGAAATTTGCAGTCTGCCTGCCCTAGCCTCCTGAATGCTGGGGTTACAGGCAAACACCATGCCTGGCAAACTAGCAATCCTCCTGCCTCGGCCTCCCAACTGCATGATTACAGGTGTGCAGCACCTCTTGGTATATGTACTGTTATAGATGGTGACCAGGGAGATCTCTCCCCTTCTACCTTTATTACAATTATTTTTTTCCTATGTGAGTGTGAGGGTGCTTGCCGGGGTCAGGGGACATCTTGCAGGAGTTAAGTTGATCTATCTGCCACCATGTGGGTCCCGGGACCTGAGTTCAGGTCATCAGGCTTGGCAAATTCTCTCGCCATCTTGTTGGTCCTTCTCTTTCTGGGGGAGGGGGGAGATGGACCAAGAAGGGCCAAGGTATCACGTATCCCAGGCTGCCCCCAGATGTGCTGTGTAGTGGAGGCGGCTGAACCCTGATCCTCCTGCCTCAGCCTTCCAAGTGCTGGGATTACAGGGGTGCACCACCATACCCAGCTTCTACTGTGTTTTTAGTGTTTCCAGCCTGGCATTTTTAACCCTCACAACTCAAGGAGACCTTTTAGTTTTAAAATAGGTGTGTGTGTGTGCGTGGTGTGTACCTGCCGGGGCCAGAGGTGTCAGGGTTCCCTGGAACTGGAGTGACAGGCAGTTGTTGGCTGCCGGACATGGGTGCTGGGGATGGAACTGGGGTCCTCCCTTCTTAACCTCTGAGCCCTCTGCAGCCCTCCGAGGGACCACTTTGACTTTTTACAGGCCCCACGCTCAGAGAAGTAAAACTAACTCAGCCAAGGGTCACACAGCTCTGCTCAGGCTTCACCTCTGACGGCCTTTATCCGGCCTGGAGCACCTGCCCCTGGTGTGGGGAGCACCAGAGAGCGGCCGCTGGCTGGGGAAACCCTGCCCTAACCCTCCTCATCTGCTTGTCTAGGCTCAGGCCGTCCAGGGGGCTCAGGCCCGGAGCCCAGGGCAACCAGCACAATAGCGTCCAACAGCTGGACCGCCAGCAGCAGCCCCGGGGAGGCCCGGGAGGATGGGTCCGAAGGCCTGGACAAGGCGCTGGACAACGATGCGGAGGGAGTGTGGAGCCCGGACATCGAGCAGAGCTTCCAGGAGGCCCTGGCCATCTACCCGCCCTGCGGCCGGCGCAAGATCATCCTGTCAGATGAGGGCAAGATGTACGGTGAGTGCGTGGGGCGGGCAGAGTGGGCGTGGCCCCGCCCGCTGGCCCCGCCCCCTGCTCTCTGTCCCCTGCCAGACCGGTTGGTTGGGGGAGCCCTGGCCGCCTGCCCGGCGGGCGAGTCCGGGCGGGCTCGAGCTGCGTGTGTCTGGGGCCTCCTCCAGCTGCACCTCTGCACCTCGCAAACAGGCCGGCCGCAGCCCACACGCGCCCCGCCTCTCCCCGGCCCTGCCGGCTGGAGGTTTCGGGGTGACTCAGGGGGCCAGGAAAACTGGGTCAGTCCAGCGAGCCACAGAGCGCCGATGGCCTAGTGAGGCAGCGCCAGACTCCCCCGACTCCCAACACCCAGGACTGAGGGGGTACCATAGGGAGAAGTAGAGAGATGGGAGCCCCACCCACCCTCTGCACAGGCCGGTCCTTAATGCCTGAACCCCACTCTTGGGACAGGAAGATGTTCTGGGGTGCCTGCGCTGGGTGGGGCTGCCTGCCCACGTTGCACCCTCACCAATGGCAGGGCAGCCCCATGGGGTATTTTTAGACAAGGGGTTGGCGGGCAGGGAGGAGCAGAGGGGCCTGTTCTGTCATCAGAGAGGAATTTGGGGAATGTGGCAGTTCTGGGGAGGAGAGGTTGGGGGGCTGAGTGCGCACCCTGGATGCTGACATACACCCTATGGCATGTGTAGACAGCCTCCACCTTGCATAGCCTACTCCCCAAGTGGGCGTCTGGTGCTGAGCGGAGACCCTACCCCGAGACTCAGATGAGTGGGTAACACCATGTGGGTCGTTGACATGAGGACCCAGTGACAGCTTAAGAGACATGTTAGGGGCCTCCAGTTCCTGTCTTCCTTCACCAGAGAAGGGACGGCCTTGTTCAGGGTCTCCCATGATCAGGAGGGAGCCAGAGAGAACTGTTCAGACAGGGGACGGGGGCTGAGACCCACCCACACCCCAGCCTCTGAGCCTTGCTGGGAATGATGGCCATGCTGCCTGGGAAGCCTGTCAAGGTCCTTTTTTCTGTTGGCCATGTGCAGGGGAGTCCCGAGTGAAGAGTGGTGGCGGGGGAGGGGTGTGCTGGGGTGGGGGGGTGGGGGGTGCCCCACCTCCCCTTGGACCCTCCCTCTTCCCGGTCCTCATTGGCTGTCTCTCTCTGATCAGGTCGAAATGAGCTGATCGCCCGCTACATCAAACTGAGGACGGGCAAGACCAGGACGAGAAAACAGGTAGAGAGATGGTCCTGGCCCCCGCGACTCCACCCTTGGGTGTCTTGGGTTTAAGGACCACAGGCTAGCCCACAGGGCCTGCTCACCAGTCAGGAAGCCGGGCATGTGCCCAGTGGGGTGGTCAGAAACAGCTAGTGTAGTCTTGCTGGGTAGGCCGGAAGGAGGGTCACAGAACTGCCTTCGGATGATGTGGGAGTTAACCAGGGAGGGACCCTGCCGGCAGATCAGGCATGATACCAACCCCTACACCCCATTTGTGTTAGCACACACCACAAAATTGCCAAGTGGTAAGGTTCACACCGTTCAACCCGACTGGCCATACAGCCGCTCAGAGCCCGCTCTGTCCTCCCCATATCTTAGGGGTTCTGGGGCTGTAATAAAGACAATGACCAGCCGGGTGGCAGTGGTGCACGCCTTTAATCCCAGCACTTGGGAGGCAGGTGGCTCTCTGTGAGTTCGAGGCCAGCCTGGTCTACAGAGCGAGTTCCAGGACAGCCAGGACTGTTACACAGAAAACCCTGTCTCAGGAAAAAACATGACCAAAAGCAACTTGGAAAGGATAGGGTTGTTTTGCCTTATACTTCCAAATAACAGTCCATCACTGAGGGAGGTCAGGGCAGGAACCTGGAGGCAGGAACTGAAGCGGAGGCCGTGGAGGAACGCTGCCTGCTGTTTCTTAGACTGTCCAGGACTCCCGGGGATGGCACTGTCCAGAGTGGGCCGGGCCCTCCCACATCAATCAAGAAAATGCGCCACAGGCCAGTCTTGGGGCATTTTCTCAGTTGAGGTTCCCTCTTCCCACATGACTGGCTTGTGTCAAGTTGCCATAAAACTAAGGAACTGGGGGAGGGAGTTTAGTGACCCCGATTTGGTCCGTGAGCTATGAGAAGGTGGAGTCAAGATTGGCCCCTGACCTAACAGGAGGAGCCAGGAGCAGGTGGTGCTGAGGAGGAAGGTGGGAGCCCTGGTGTGTCGGGGGGGGGGGGTATCAAAGAGTGGGACAGTTGTGAGGGATGTGGCCCTGCAGCTGCCAGGGCAGTGGATCCGGGAGGCCAGCCAGGAGGTGGAGGCTGAGACTGCATCCCCAGGATGGGGGAGTGCCAACAGCTGTGGGTGACCAGGCAGGTGGTGAGTTGGGCGAGTTGGATCTGGGGTACCTAAGAGAGATAAGCTCAACCCCCAGCCCTTCCAGGAGTGGGGACTCAGACTAAGCATCCACTACCCCAGAGTGCTGAGTGTGCACAGACAAGCCCCTCCTGCCCTAATCTCATCCTGGGAAGGTGGGGGAGCCCTAGGTTTCCTGTCTACTGTGGCATTTAGTAATGCCTGGTCCGGGCCTCAGATCATCCCCTGGGTCTTCAGTAAAGCTGGGGTGGCCACTCTGGTCCCCGAGCTCAGGCTCCTGCACTTGGGGGGCCAATAACACAACAAACTCCACTGTGTGGAGCAGCATGTGCCTGGAATCTCAACACTTGTAAGGCTGAAACAGGAGTTCCGTGAGTTTGAGGCCCCAGGATAAGGATCTCTCTCAATCCTCCACCCCCAGACAACACTGATAGGCTGCCCTACCTGGGCCTAAGTTTGCTTCCCAGCCCGATTCCTTGGCAACTGTAAACTGATTGATATGTGGACACCTAAACAGTTGAGTGCACCTGCTGCTGTTACAGCCACTGTGGTAAGCCACACCCATATTCTCAAGCACCTTCTGGTCAGCCCTGGGAAGGGGCTGACGGTCTGTAAGTTCAGACTGAGTCCACCTGGCCACATGTCCTGCCTCATTCTGACCCAGCATTGCACCTCCTCCTGCTGGGCTGTCCACACAGGACAGCGCAGCCGCCTGGGGCTGGTGCCCAGATCTCCTGTCCCTTGTAGTGGTAGCACTCCCTCTCATTGAACTATGTAGCCCAGGCTGGCCAGGGACTCACAGAGCTCCACCTACCTCTGCCTCCCAAGTGCTGGAATCAAAGGTGTGCGCCACCATACCCAGCACAATGCCTCCATATTAAGCAGACTCTGAATACCAAGTTGGGCGTAAGCTCCCTGTGAGCGCCAGCTGTCAGAGCTGGCCCTGCCTGGGAAGGTGGTCCCCACTTAAGGGTCTGAAGGAATCCTGGGAGGATAGCTTGCTGATGAAGCCAATGGTCCCCAGAGCTACACAGCCTGGGTTTGAATGCCAGCTCTGCGTCCGGCTGTGTGATCCAGGATACATAGCCGAGTCTCTCTGGGCTCTGACTGGGCCATCGAAAGTCGGAGTTGCTGCAAAGACCAAAGGAGCCGTGCTTACAAAGCTTGGCAAACGTCAGCACGTGTGTTTGGTGGCCATCAGTATTGTCAGGGAAAGAGGGAGCGTCTGCTGGGACTCCAGAGCAGGGGCCTGTCAGAGGAGCGCCCAGCTAGGGGGGTGTTCCTGGGGTTCTCAAGTCCAGAGCGAAAGGAACAGTTTCTTTAGGGGAATAAAAAACTTCCAAAGCCCACAGCTGCTGCTGCTGCTATTGCCCACGGGGCAGTGTTGATGGCACGTGGGTCTGCAGCCTGTCATCAGTGCCCGGACCGTGCCAAGGGCTGTCACACAGGCTGGGCACTGCGGGCCTAGGATTAGCTCAGCTTTATCTTTCTTAGAGGCAGCAAGGAGTAGGGTGCTGGGAAAGAAATCCTTCAAATAAGAGCACCTACTGTGTGCATAAATCTGTCCATGGAAAGGCATGCCTGTGTGGTTCCAAAGAAGCTGAAGGAGGAAGGCAGGGGCGGGGCCAGGCCGAGAACCAGGGTAGATAGACAGGTTGGAGAGATCTGATAGAAGCTTTGCAAGCCTTTAATCCCAGCATTTGGGAGGCAGAGGCAGGTGGATTTCTGGGACTTCAAGGACAGCCAAGGCTACAAAGTGAGACCCTGTCACCAAAAAAAAAAAAAAAGCAGCTGGGCCTTCCGTGTCCATCTAATGCCAGGAGGGAGCCACGCTAGCCTGTGTGCTGCCCTCAGAGGTGGGGTTCCTGAGGGAAGGCCCGCCCACTCCCTTTGGGTCCGGTGCAGCCCTCGCTGAGCACAGAGCAGATCATGGACTGGGGGCTGTTCTGTGAACTCCTGACACAGCAGTGCACAGTGGTCCTTGAAGCCACTGTGCGCCCTTAATTCAAGGCCAAGAAGAAACAGAATCGGCAGTACCAATGGGCACGTCCCCACTGAGATGCCCAAGTTCTCCCCCTGGGCCCTGGTGCCCCAGAGATGAGGGCTGGGGTGCTCCCTCCACCCTGGCCATCCTGGCTGGGCCTCCTCACCATCTCTTTTCCTTTGTGCCGGGCACACAGGTGTCCAGCCACATACAGGTTCTAGCTCGGAAGAAGGTTCGGGAATACCAGGTTGGCATCAAGGTACGTTGGGTGCCTGGCAGGGCCTCCAGTCCTTGCTGGGCCTCTTCTGTGGTGCCTCGCCCATTCTGCACGCTGCAGGCCTCGGCCTCGCCTGGCTCTCTCCAGCCCACTGTACCTCTCTCTGGCTCCCTCTCCTCCCTCTCCTCTGTCCTTTGCTTTCTCTCTCTTTCCCTACAGGTCTCTAGTCACTTGCAGGTTCTAGCCAGGAGGAAATCTCAGGAGATTCAGTCCAAGCTGAAGGTATGGGCCCCTGCCACTTGGCCGAGCTCTGCCCAGGACAGGGCCGAGGAGCTGAGGGGCTGACACACACAAGTGACAGCAGGTTGAAGGCCCCAGGTGCCTGCTGTGGTGACACTTGAACCCCAGCACTCAGGCAGAAGCAGGCAGATCTGAGTTCCAGGACAGCCAGGGCCACACAGCGAGACTCTTGTCTCAAAAAACAAGAACAGGCTGTCAGGGTTCCCAGGCCACAGCCCCTGGTGACCGGCTGGACAGCGGGTGGCCAGCGTCCCTCCGAGAGCTGCTCCAGCCTGCCTCTCCTCTGTTCCCCTGCCTCTCCTCTGTCCCTGCTCTCTCTCCTGACTGTTGCTTGCTAAGGCCTGGGGACTCGAAGGGTGAAGGGTGTTGTCTGCAGCTCAGCAGGGCCGAGAGCTCCTGACTGAGGATCTGCCTTGTCCCTGCCTCTCAGTCTTCCCAGCCGATGCTCAGTTCTAGGAGGGACAGACTCATGGTCCTTTTTCTTCATCCTCACCTTGCCAGGGCACCCCCTGGCTGACAAGCACTGCCTCTCAGGGTTGGGAGGGCTCCCTTGGGAGCTGACAGCCAGGGCTTGAGGTGGGGGTGCGTTGCAAAAAGCCATGTCCCCTCCCCCACAGAATCCTCACATGTATCTAATCCTCTGTCCCTTTCTCCTTCACAGGCCATGAACCTGGTAAGTGGCCCAGCAGCCCTGGGGAGGGGCCTGAGAGCACCTAGGTGACAGGAGCAGAGGGGTGGTGCAGTGGTGGCCTGCTCACCAGGCACTTCCCACCCTCAGTGCAGTGCTGAGCACAGGAACCAATCAAAGCTGCTGAATTAACCGTGGAGTGAATTTGCTTTCATAGAAAAGTCACAGATAGGGGCTGGAGAGATGGCTCAGTGGTTAAGAGCACTGACTGCTCTTCCAGAGGTCCTGAGTTCAATTCCCAGCAACCACATGGTGGCTCACGACCACCTGTAATGAAATCTGGTGCTGTCTTCTGGCCTGCAAGAACATATGTAGGCGGAACACTGTATACATAATAAATAAATCTAAAAAAAAAAAAAAATTAAATCTAAAAAAAAAAAGAAAAGTCACAGATAATTGGATGTCCAGGAGGAGCGTTCAGTGTCTATGCAGATGCTGTATGTGTGAGAGAAAGATTCAGGCACCCTGTATTTCAGTATATGAGAGAGCCCAAAACCAATTCCCTCAGGGACTGCAAGGGACCACTGACCGGGGCATGGAATAAAGTAGGATTCCATACTGTGGGCTGTGCCCAGAAAGGACAGACAGACACCAGTACATTGGGGTTCAGAGAGGTAGACACTGCTGAATCCACAGTAGAGCTGGGCCTAGCATTCTCACCTGAAGAGCCTGGCCCAGACCTCACGTGACCACTGTCCCCCAGGACCAGGTCTCCAAGGACAAAGCACTCCAAAGCATGGCGTCCATGTCATCTGCACAGATCGTCTCTGCCAGCGTCCTGCAGAACAAGTTCAGCCCGCCCTCCCCTTTGCCCCAGGCCGTCTTCTCCACCTCCTCAAGGGTATGGGTGGGCTGTGGGCTGGGGCTGGGCTGGGACTGGGCTGTGGCCAGGGTTCCTGAGTACTGAGGCCCTGGTTTTGTCCACAGTTCTGGAGTGGCCCCCCTCTGCTAGGACAACAGCCTGGACCGTCTCAGGAGTAAGTATTGCCCGTGTCTTCCCCCAGTCCTTCCCTCCTTCCTGAGCCCTGACTCTGTCGACATCCCTGTATTTGTTTTCTGCTTGGGAACCAACGGTGATGTCTGCTTACCACCAGGTGGTGAACAAAACTCAGGGTTCTTAGTTCTGAGAACTCAATACCAGCTACGGTGAATAGCTTTTTGAGGGGCCTGTACCCACCCACCAGCTGTGGGATGCGGCTGCGGCCACCAGAGTTAAAACGTGGAGGGAACAAAAAGGTGGTGGGCTAGCCTGTGAGCATGCACTTTGAGGCATCAGCTGAGGGGGTGCAGGGGAGGGAGGGACTGGGCAGATGAAGGGTGCTGAGGACCTCTCCCTCACCATATTCCTGCCCGCAGCATCAAGCCCTTTGCCCAGCCTGCCTACCCCATCCAACCTCCTCTGCCACCGACGCTCACCAGTAAGTATCACGCCAGGCCATCTAGTACCTCTGGTGTCTGCCCTTCTATGTGGGACCTGTGTCTGTGCTGGGGTGGGTGGCGGCCGTAGGGCCTTGATACGTTTCTGTTTATGCCCTGTAAAGAAAGACATCAACACCTTCACAGAATTCCACTCTAGGTGATGGTATTTTAGTTTTCTGTGTGAACACACAGTAATAGTGGCATGCAAAAACATCCTGTGATTACAACTACTGTACACACACACCCCTTGGAGAGTAAAGCCCAGCCCTGCAGTCCGCCATGCGTGGGCAGATGAGCTACATCTTACCCTTTCAGGTTATGAGTCCCTGGCCCCGCTGCCCCCAGCCACTGCCTCCTCTGCCTCTGCGCCTGCGTGGCAGGACCGGACCATCGCCTCCTCCCGGCTACGCCTCCTGGAGTATTCTGCCTTCATGGAGGTGCAACGGGATCCTGACACGGTAATGTGGGGGTGGTGGGGAACCTGGCCTGTGAGGGTCCTCGGGCCTGCAGCCCCAACCCCTCCAGGCTGACCCTGGTTCGGCCCTCCCCACAGTACAGCAAACACCTGTTTGTGCACATCGGCCAGACAAACCCTGCCTTCTCGGACCCACCCCTGGAGGCGGTGGATGTACGCCAGATCTATGACAAGTTCCCTGAGAAGAAGGGGGGACTGAAGGAACTCTACGAGAAGGGGCCCCCAAACGCCTTCTTCCTTGTCAAGTTCTGGGTGAGGCTTCTTCTCCCAACCCAAGATGGGCAGGCAGCTCGCCCAGCTCCTTGCCTCCGCTCTCCTCCATGACCGGCGGGCCCCTGGGCGGGACCTGCAGGCCTCTGGGTAGGTGGGCCTGGAGGCATGGAGGTGGGGAAGCGGGAGGCCGGCCTCTGGCCTCTGCAGCACTTGGTGTCCTCCCCACAGGCTGACCTCAACAGCACGGTCCAGGAGGGCCCCGGGGCCTTCTACGGGGTCAGCTCTCAGTACAGCTCAGCCGATAGCATGACCATCAGTGTGTCCACCAAGGTGTGCTCCTTCGGCAAGCAGGTGGTAGAGAAAGTGGAGGTGAGCAGGGGGTCTGAGGAGGGGGGCGGCAGGCACCGGTCAGTGACACCCAGTGACGCCACCGTCCCCGCTCTGCAGACTGAGTATGCCCGCCTCGAGAACGGCCGCTTCGTGTACCGCATCCACCGCTCACCCATGTGCGAGTACATGATCAACTTCATCCACAAGCTGAAGCATCTGCCCGAGAAGTACATGATGAACAGCGTGCTGGAGAACTTCACCATCCTGCAGGTGGGAGGCTGTCAGTGGCTCAGCCGCGACCAGGCTAGCTTGGAGGGGTGCACTGCCCAGTACCTCTGCCCCTGCTCTGCTGAGTCCCATTCTTCCTCCTGCCCCCACAGGTGGTCACAAGTCGGGACTCACAGGAGACCCTGCTGGTCATCGCTTTTGTCTTCGAGGTCTCCACCAGCGAGCATGGGGCACAACACCACGTCTACAAGCTTGTCAAAGACTAGCAAACCTTTGACGTCCACAGGGATGCAAGACGGACTTCTTCCACACACCTGCCTGCCTGGTCTCCCAGGGTGTGGGCTGGGGAACTCACCCACTCATGGGTTTCAGGCTGGGACCCAGGCTGCCTCCCTGGCCCCAGCACACACGCTCCCTGCCACTGTTCTGCGCTTTACTGGAGTGAAGAGGGCTCCATGGTGATGTGGCCTTCCTGGGCATTGACCCACAGATGACAGGGCTCCACCTGGCCTCAAGTGACATCCGAGTTGGGGGATGGAGGACACCTGCGGGCTTAGTGCACGGTCTCTGGCCCCCAAGGGAGTGTGGTGAGCAGGTGAGGGTAGAGCGGAGACCACGGAGAGGCAGCGGGCAAGGCTGCCCTGGTACGAGGTGTCAAGTTGGAGGCTGGGATAAGAAGGGCCCACACTTCTTTGTACCTTCTGGGCACCGGCCTGTTCCCAGGCCCCTTGCACAGCAAGATTGGGTGTCTTGATCAAAGTGCCAAGATGGAGGCCCACACAAGTGGGCAGAGCCGGAGCCTGGGTTCGGCTACCTCCCTAGACCAGGGCTGGCTACAGGGGAGGGGGCTGTGCTGACAGAGTGGTGCAGCTGAGCTGGAGGCTGAACAGGGTGCTGCCCGGTCCCCCCAGCACATCAGCTCCCAGGCACCCTTCAGTGTCCCACAGACAGGTGGCAGGGCACAGGAGGCTGGAACTTGAAGAGCCCTGGTCTCCCCGCCTCCCTCCCCTGCTCTCCACACCCAGGCCCGAGGGTCAACTGGCCTGTCCCCAGGCCACCTGGGTATTTGTGAGTTTCAAATGAAGTACTGTGCCCCTCCTCATCCTGCCCGAGCTTTCTGAAGGTCTTCACCGTTCGCATACTGCTCAGGCCACCTCCCGACCCCACCTAGGTTTTATAACATGTATTATATGTATTTTTGTGTATTTTTAAATCCAGCTGTGATGGGCTATATCATAAACAGCTCAAGGCAGGGGCCCCTTAAGGTCTGGCTCCTGCTAAAAAAAATTAAAAGCTGTTTCTGGGTCAGGACAGTTGTGTGTCATGTGCAGCCTCCCACCGTGGCCTGTACTCAGATGTGGTACAGAGCTGCTGTGATCGACCACCACATCACTCATGCATGCCCAGCCTCGTCTGGACATCACCTTAGTGCCCTCTGGGACAGCTGCAGCCAGGTGTGTAGGTTACCAGGCTGGGCCATCAACTGAGTCTTCAGCAGTCACTCCTGGAGATGCCCAGGCTAGAGTAGGCATGCTGGTAACCAGTTGAGCCCTGAGATTCTACCCTAAGGATGAGAGGCAGAATGAAGCCCCAAGTCCGCCACTACACCCCACAGCCTGCAGGGGGACAGCTCTGGGTTGGACGCTGGCCTGTGACGTATAAGTTCCCACAACGCAAATACCCATCCTCACACTAGGCTGTACCTGGCCAGCCTATTCTAGATCACTCAGGTATGACCTTCAGATTTACAGGTGAGGCTTGTGGACTTCTTCCTCATCTGTGGAAGTGAAGCCTTCAAGCCCCTCCTTAGAAGGGGCCTGCCGTACCCACTCTGCTCTGGGCTAGCTGCAGCTCTGTGCTTGAGCCCAGAAGTGAGTGACCGCTAAGGTGGCCTTGCCTGTCACTACCACAGCCCCCTGGAAACATTTCAGCAGCCCAGAGTTAAGACACCCCTCACCTCTAACCATACTGGAATTGGCTTTCAGCTGGACTGAATCTACAAGTAGAGACCTGGTTGGGGCCAGAAAACAACGCCTAGCTGTGGGCCAAACCCGCTGCTGGGACACGCCCTTCAGCTGAACCCTCACAGCTCCACGTCACACACAGACCAGGGGTACGGTAGCACTGAGGTTTATTGGGGCGCCCTAGTACAGACGCTGGGGCTTGCCCATGGTGCTCTTGATGTACAAAGCCCGGACATTCTGCCAGTTCTTCTTGAGCAAGGACACCAAGAAGTTGACAGCCAGGTGGATGTTGTAGACCAGCTCATCGTCGGTCATCTTCACGTGGCCAACAGCGACAGCCAGACACAGCACCTGCACGGGGGTCAGGCTAGTGAACATCTGGCCTGGCCCTTCCGGGTGTAGACCAGGGTTCTACACTCTGCTTCCCACCTTTAGCCAGCCATGCTGTGCCAAGGACCAAACTGGGTTCCTCTTAGCACCATGACCTCCCCGGAGCCCAGACCCACCTTCTTCATCTGGAACTTGATGGTGGACTTGACCTCGTCCACTTTGGCCACCATGTTTTCATTGTGTGTCAGCAGGGAAGGGAACTTGCCAGCCTTGTTGAGGCCTGGGCCCAGGATACGAGGGATCTGCTTGATCAGAGACTCGGAGGCCAAAAAGGCATCGTACTTCTTGGCTGTGAGGGCAAGTCATGGCTACTTACATCCAGGCCAGACAAGCAGAACCAACCCTTGAAATCTTCAGTAGTGCAGGTCCACCACCCCAGACCCCACACTACCGAGATGACCGACCCACAATCCACAGCTCACTGCAAAGGACAGAGGGGCCGCGGTGGCCTCCCACCTGCTGTAACCCCAGCATTCACTGAGAGCCAGGTGAATGCTCGACTTGGTGGCGCAGACCTATAACCAACCCTAGGTATTTGAGAAACCCACAGCAGCACTGCTGTGGTGCAGACATCGGTGTGAGTGGGTGCCACACCACGTTGGCAAGGAGAGCTCTAAAGAGGCCTATCTGATATCGCAGACCCCAGGTTCACAAAACACCCAACAGCTGGGTAGGGTCCACTTCGGAGTGACGGCCTCCATCACATGGGCCTGCGGGGTGTTTTCCGGACTGCTGACCCATGTGAGGCCCCGCCCCCCAGAATGGTGGCCCTCCTGGGCAGGTGGCGCCGGGTTGTGTTGAGGTGAGCCCGTGAAACGCCTTCAACACCAGCCCCCGAGTGGACCCCAGACATGGCACCCAGCTGCCCCTACCAAGCTTTTTGACCAGCTTCTTGTTCTTATTCAGCTTCTTGAGCGCCTCGATGTCCATGTGGGGGATGTCCACGGCCTTGGCCTCATCGCAGTGCTGCTGGTCCCCCAGGACGCACACCGAGAACTTGGGGCGCGGCGTGGACTTGAGCCTGTGTAGCGGGGGGGAGGGGGGAGACAGCAGGTCACGGCCAGTCCGAGTGCCCGGGAGGGCGACTGTGACGGATCCTGGGGGGGCGCCAGCGCGCCCCGAGTCTTACCCGGCGAGGTCAACACTAGCCTGGCTTCTCAGGCTAGCCGGCGGGCTCGGCCGAGGCCTCCCCACGCCTCCCCTCTTGTTTTAAGACCCAGGGTGGGGGTCCGTCCAGCCAGCCCGCCCGGAGCAGGCGGCCTGGACTACCCTGGCACGCGTCGGGGTTCCCCGTGCCCGCCGCGGGCTCGGCCACACGGGGGACCCCGAGGGGCTGGGTGGGGTCAGAGCGGTGCCAACCTGACGGTGCCCGAGAAACGCTTGTCCTTCTGGGGGTCGTAGTTCTTCAGGCTGATCTGCAGCTCCACCGTCTCCAGGAACCTGGGCGGCAGGGGCGACGTCAGCGCGGGGCGCTCGCCCACCCGCCCGTCGGTCCCCCCGATCGCCCACCCACCCGCCCCGCGCTCACTTGCGGCGCTTGCGCTGGTTCCCGTGCAGGACCTCCCGTCCCGCTCGTCCGTCCCCCGCCCGCCCCGCTCACCCGCCTCCCGTCCGCCCCGCTCGTCCGTCCCCTGCTCGCCCGCCCCGTCCGACCCCCGCTCACTTGCGGCGCTTGCGCTGGTTCCCGTGCAGGACCTCCCGCACCGCCTCGTACAGGGTGTCGCGAGAGACTTTGCTGCTGTTGGGGAGAAACGAGCGCGCTCAGGGCCGGCCACGCTGCACCCCGGGAGGACCCCGCGGCCCCGCGCGGAGGGACGCGACCCACGGCAGAGCCCCCGAGTCCGGCCGCAGGTCACCCGCGGGGCACCCGGGAGCCCGGATGGCGGCGGATCGCGCCCCGCGACCCCCGCTTACCTCATGGCTGCTGGGGCGGCGGCGACGGCGAGAACCGGAAAAGAGAAGCGAGCGCGCTGCGCTTGCGCTCAAATAGCGCTCCTGTTCCCGCGAGAACTGCTCGTCCGGTCGCGCGGTCCGCCGCTCAGCCTGGCCGGGCGGGGAGGGGGGGGAGCGCTGCGGTTTGCGGCCGCTGGGGGGCGCCAGCACGCGGCTGCACCGTGAGCGCCGCGCAAGGACCCGCAGGCGCTGGGGCTCCCTGCCTCCTACCCAGCCAAGGCGCTGGGGCCGGAGCACGGAGGTCGGGTTTCCGCCGACTCCCTCCCTGTCTTATACCTGACCTGCGTCTTGCACAGTCTCTGTTTTCCTCCGTCGCCTAGTTCGGTGGGGAGCCCCGGGGGGCCCCGGGCAGCAGCTGCCCTCTCTAGCCCGTGCTTGTGCAACTGTCCCGCCGCCACTCGTGGGCAGAGGCACCGCCGACGGGAATAGCTGGAGGGCACGACGATCCTCGTGGAGATCTGCAGACCTGAGGAGCGTCCTGTGACTAGATCGGGATCAGATGTGCATCATTTCAGCGCCAGCCTCCACCTGGGAGGAGGCGCCCCCCCCCCCCCGGGCTGCCGTGGCCATTGGTCTGCACCGGCCCGGATTCAGCCTCCAGGCAAGATGGACTTTTGGATAAATCCTCCCCCACCACCCCGTCTTTTCTCAATTAGTTGGCATTTCAAACAAAGCTGTCCTGGCCTGACACCCCACCCCCCGCCCCCGTTTTTGCAGTTAATAGAGAGGGGCAGGGGCAAGGGTGCAGGGAGCCTCCACATCTGGGGTGACTAGCCCGGGTCTTGAGGAGGGAAGGCAAGCTCCTCTAGGCCACCCTCTCTGGCCAGCACCCCCCATGGCCAGGGGCAGGTCTGGGAATGGTTCGTCTTGCCCGGGCACATTCACAGCACACTCCGGGGCAGTAAAGAAAGCTCACCCAGGGTCAGGGGGTTCAGTGGCAGGGTGGAGCTTCAGGTGCTACCCAGCCGGAAAGGCCAACGTGACCAGGAGGTTCTGTTGTTTTTCTCTTAAGCTTTGTTCCCCAAACCAGGCCTTATCCCTAAACGGACTTCCCACCTCCCTGAAACAGGGACTCAGGACTTCAGAGGAAGCTGTGGTCTGAGACGCACCCAGAAAGTTCTGTTCCCCACCCACCACAGGGCTCAGCCAGGAGGGTTCTGCTTCCTAACTCGGGAACATCTGTGTGCTAAAGTTTTGTTTGTTTTTTCCCCAGACAGGGTTTCTCTGTGTAGCCCTGGCTGTCCTGGAACTCTGTTTAGAGCAGACCAGGCTCAAACTCAGAGATCCCCCTGCCTCTACCTCCTGAGTGCTGAGATTAAAGGCATGTGCCACCAGCCCCAGCTGTGTGCTAAATGTTTCGTGAGCGAGGTACCTGCACAGGTGTTGTGGGAATACAGACGACAACCAGGTCTGCAGCAGGCACGACGTGACTTCTCTGCCTCCTTTTCAGCCCACAGAAGCCCAGGCATCCTTCAGATCCCAGCCTGAATGTTACCTGTGGCTGAAGATGGAGCTCTGTGGTGGAGCATTAGCCTAGCAGGCCCAAGACCCCGGTTTCCATGCCCAGCACTGAGACAAAAGTCATCAGGCCCCAGCCCTCCCTCCACAGTAGGCCGTCACCCAGGCCACTGCGTGCCTTGACACTCAACAGGCAGCTCTGACCGCCCTGCCTCGGCGGCAGAGGGTACCATGTGACCTGACAGACCCTAAGCTAACTTCAAAACTCAGTTTAACGGACCTCCCCTCACTGGTTCTCACTGAACAGGGTGGGGGTGGGTGAGGGAATGAAGGGTCCAGAACTCATGGAAAGTAGGCTCTGCTTCTAAGAACGCAGGCGCCTCTGTTTGTATGTTTAACTTTCTTTGTATTTGGTAGGTGTGTGTGTTTGTGTGCATTTGTGTTGTGCATGCATGAGCACTCTGGGATGTAAACATGCCACTGCACAAACCTGACGGTCCTTGCCTTCCATTTTGTCTCAGGCTAAGCTGGCGCCCCAGCTTTGGGGGATCCCCCTGCCCCCATCTTGTCATAAGAACAGAGATGACAGATACCCAGCTTTACATAGGTTTTGGAGATTCAAATTAAAGTCCTAATGCATTCAGTAAGCTCTTTGCTCATTCAGCTATCTCCCAGCCACACCCACCAACATTTCTGAGAAAGGGTCTCTCGTGTAGCTGAGGCTGGCCTTACACTGTGGTTGAAGATGACCCTGAACTTCCGATCCTCCTGAGTGCTGGGATTACGGGGTGAGCTATTGGGAGAAATTATTTTGGCCACTCCACGTAGTTTAAAGGATATTTATTTAATGGTGTAACTCACAAATTAAGTAATGGGTAGGTCGCAGGGTCTGGGGAAGGTGTATCGCAGTCCAGCGGTGTTCTCCGGAGCTCTGCATATCCACCCCCACTGTTAAGCGTCCGGCACAGAGCACGCACAGAAAGAGCCCTGGCCCATCCAGCTCTCCGGTCCCCAGGCGCCTCCCCTTGCCCCGCCTCGTAGGCATGACAGTTGCCAGAGTCTCAATGGGGGTTGGAACTTCCAGATCCAAGCTGGAATGGCTACCCACTACAGTGAGCCATGTGCTTGGATGAACTTTTTTCTTTTTATTAAAAACTACTACAAAATATTCAGTTCAGAAACAAAAGAGGAGGGTCACAACATGCACCTGAGCACAAAAGACTCCCCCTGAGCACACTGGAACCCCGGCTGTCCCAGGACACCACCCATCCACCACTGGCCCTCCACCGTCCCTGCACTGGGACCAGGAGTGGCGGCCAGCGTGGAGCCTAGGGCCTCCTCTCTGAGGTCAAGATGGCCCCTGCACAGCCAGGGGTGTCGGGCAAGAGGCAGCTGAGTCCTGAGCTGGCTGTGCTTCGTGGGGGTTCTGAGGCAAGGGGTGAGGGAACCGTGTCCCGGGGGTGGTCAGCGGGCCACATGTCTCAGTGCTACCTGCAAGGACTTCTTCAGGAAGGTGGCGTTGGGCTCCAGGGCCACAGCCAGGTCCAGGCTCTGGTGCCGTGTGATCTGGAGGGAAGGAATCGGGCTAGGACTGCAGAAGCCTGGCCCCCATCTCCTCACCACCCCACAGCCCTGCGTAGGATGGAGAACGGAAGCCAAGGGCAGGCTCCTGGCAACAGAACCTTACTACTTCCCGAGGTGAAGCAAGCACCGGAAGGACCTGGAACTCTACCAGCTGTGGAGCTCAGAGCAGGCCCTGCTGCTGGACGGAGGCGTGTCTCACATGGCCCTCCTGACCCGTCCAGGCTCCCGATGAGAGAGGGTCAGGGGCACACCGCCATGGCCGCCACACCCTTCGGACCTGTTCCTCTATCTTCTCGTGGGGTTCAGGCTCCTCATCTCCACTCTCCAACCCCAACTCCTCAAAGCAGACAGAGGCACGGTCCCTCCCCAGATGAAGGTCCCTCCCCAGATGAAGGTCCCTGCAGGCTCCCCATGCCTCTGGAGGGCAGCCCTGACACCCTTCTCCAGAGGGGGTGCCCTTCTGTGATCTAGAGGCGTCTCTGGAGAAGCCAGCAGCCCCCAAACCTCGGAGCACACACAGATCAGATTCCCACTTTCCCGGGATCATGGAATGCAGCTGTGTGAGGGCCGACCCTGGCTGTCACCGGATACAGCTGGGTCAAGAGGAGCCTTAAGAGAGGAAGCGCCCCATCATCTCGGCCTGTGGGGCGTTTCTGTAGAGTACCAGGTAACACAGGAGGTCAGCCCACTGTGGGCAGTGCTGCCCCGGCCAGGTGATCCTGGACTGTAGGAAAAAGCAGGCTGAGCCCAGTGTAGCGGCCCAGGCCTCCAATCCCAGCACTCAGGAGGCAGAGGCAGGAGGGTTTCTGTGAGTCTGAGGCCAGCCTGGTCAACACAGAGGGTTCAGGCTAGCCAGAGCTACAGAGCCTAGCAAGCAAGAAGCCCTGTAGTCCATCCCCAGCACTACATAAACCAGGCCATAGTAGGTTCCCCAAAATCCCAGCACTCGGGAGCTGGAGGCAGGAGGATCAGATGTTCAAGGTCATTTTGGCTGCAGAGCAAATTCTGAGCTACGTGAGATCTTGTCTAAAAACAAAACGAAAGCCTCTCTGGCCCATGACCTTCTGGGCCATGCTGCTAGTCCCACATAACTAATCTCCTCATCTGTATAGAGAGGCTGCACACAGACACACAGCCCCAGCCAAACAGGAGGCCAACGCGGCAGGACACAAGGCCAGGGGGCCGAGCCCAAGGCAGGCAGCAGACCCCCATCTCAAAACAAAACCCACAGAAAGACAAGTGTCTGAGGGCATTCTGTATTTGTCTCACTATGTAGCCCAGATTGGCCTTGAACTTACAGCCATCCTCCTGCCTCAGCCTGCCCCACACGTTCACCACCTCCAGTCCCCAGGAAGACTCAGCTGCCCTCCTCCTGTCACCAGAGGCTTGTGCATGTCCCCTCACGAACATGGCAGCTGAGGGCGGGGTCAGCTCAAGGGGAAGGACAGCATGGTGCTGTTCTAACTTCCAAGCGCCCCTGCCCCCAGATGCTGGCCCCGCCAGTGAGCCCCCGGGGACACTCACTCGGGCCTGGTACTTGGTCATCACTGCCAACATCAGCTTGGCGTAAGCCATGGAGGTGGTGGCCGCCGGTCCCTCTTTGCAGAGCCTTTGCACCAAGACACTGAACACCTCAGAGGTCATCTCCACCTGCAGGCATTGGGACATGGGGCAGCGTCCTAAGGCCAGCCCTGGGTTCGATCCCAAGCTCTCCATCTCCCGGCAGGTAGGGAACAGAGTGCTCAAAACGGGTCTAGAGAGTTCCTCCACAGCCCCACGTGTTGAAGGCGTGGTCTCAGGGTTTGTATAAAGGAGACAGAAGTAGCCTGGCCCCTATTCTCTGCTTCTCGGCTGCTATGACTTGAGTGGCCGACCCAACCACACACTCCACCATGATGTGCCTCATACAGGCCCAGGAGCCACGGAGCCAAGCACCGATGGAGCCTGTGAGCCCAAGCCAACCTTTTTCCTGCTGTTTACCTCAGGTATTTTACCATAGTAAGGGAAAGCTAACATCAAGTGAAGCCCCAGGCCCCACAACTGGACAAGGCTCAA